GATGAATTTGGCCTTCAGCAATCCCCTTCCAGGCCAGATCTCTCGCATTATTTTCTTTCTTCTTCTAGACTTGTAGAGCTTCTGCAAAGTGCTGCCAAGTCTGAGAAGAAGGACAAGAAGTTGCCCGGTGTAGTGTTTGATTTGCTACAAGTTTCACTGAAGGAAGGTGCCTTTGAACTGTTCTGGAATGAAGGTGTGGAGAATGGGCTACTGAAGGAGAAATCGGGACCTGTGAGGTTTGTTTTGACATACACTGTTGTTTGTTTTCTATATTATCCTTCTGTTTCTTGCCCCAGTCTTTTGCTGCTGCCCTGTGGTAGGATGGAGCATGTGATTTCTCATGAACAGTGTGAAAACACTTGCTTTTGATTATTTAGGTATTCACAAGAAACTTTATAGGGAGCCTAAATCCAGGAGTTAGTAAGATTTCTCTTAGAATTGTGAGATATAACAAATTTGGGGTTAAATTTAACTAGTACAGCACATAAAGGTGATGCACCTCATGGGGCATAAAGGTGTCTTAAATCTATAGCTTGCTCCTACAAGACTTGGAGGAGGAGCTGTACTGTCCTTTTCTTTCTAAGCAGTTGAGAGGGAGAGTCATTTAGCTTTGTGTGGTTTAAGGATGACTCCTGTGTAGACAAACCCTAGTTCTGAAATTTGTGTCTAATACTGCTGGACTTGTGCTTTGTGGAATGGACTGAATTAAAATGCCTGCATATGTTTGGATCCTGACGTGGTCTGTGTTTTTAAGTAGGGTATGGCTGTGGCAGACATCATAACAGTAGCTATTTTAGGTCCTTTTCCAATTCTAATACTAGATCTTATTAGGAGTATTTAAGTTTTCTGTTGAGACTCATGCTGTATTAAAAATGCATGCAAATCCAGAATACAAACCTGTGAGCATTTTGGGGGAGCATAATTTAATTTGGACCGTAGCGAGTCAGTCTGTGGCCAGGTTTAAATCTTTCTTAGATCAAGAGTTTAAAAGTTGTAGAGATGCACCTACAAAAAAAATTCTTAACATATTACATGAGTATCACAGTGAAAGGAAACCATTTTCTAACACTGAGCAGTTTGTTTTGTTTAACTTGGCTTGGGTAATTCTGAAAATACCCTTTGTATGCTCAAAGCATACAACAGTGTTGCTTTTTTTAGCCTGATTTCCTGCAGAAATAAGGCTGGTGCTGTCCATCTAATAACCCCTGAGCCCATTGGGCAATTCTGATTAAATTTGACAGCAACTTGCTGTAAAAATTGCTGCAAACTAAGTAAGTTTGCGTAGTCAAAAACTAAGTAAGTTTTTATTAGGTCTGTGGAAATAAATATCTGGGGGGAAGAGATCCAGAAAGTGGATTGAGGAAGGAACTGCTGGTGAGGACTCATCTATTTCTAGGCACCTGTGCTGGTTTTGGGTGGCATAAAGTTAATTTTCTTCAGAGAAGCTAGTATGGGCCTATGTTTTGGATGTGTGCTGAAAACAGTGTTGATAATACAGGGATATTTTAGTTGCTGCTGAGCAGTGCTTACACACAGTCAGGCCTTTTCTGCTTCTCATGTCACCCCACCAGCCAGTAGGCTGGGGGTGCACAAAAAGCTGGGAGGGGACACAGCTGGGACAGCTGACCCCAACTGCCCAAAGGGATATCCCACACCACAGGGTGTTGTGCTCAGCGTAGAAAGCTGGGGGAAGCAGAAGCAAGGGGAGGACGTTCAGAGTTAGGGCATCTGTCTTCCATTATGCGTGATGCAGCCCTGCTTCCCTGGAGATGGCTGAACACTTGCCTGCCGATGGGAAATGGTGAATGAATTCCTTGCTTTGCTTTGCTTGTGTGCACAGCTTTTACTTTACCTATTGAACTGTCTTTATCTCAACCCATGAGTTTTCTCACTTTTACCCTCCTGATTCTTTCCCCTGTCCCACCAGGCGGGGAGTGAGCGAGCGGCTATGTGGGGCTCAGTTGCTGGCTGGGGTTAAATCATGACAACAGCGAAGGACCTGCTACAGGGAGAGATCTTAACAGCTATGCTAGTCACAAGAAAAGCTTTGGGCAGTAGGATTTTTGAACACAGGATCCATGAATTTGACTTCTGCCGTCCTGGATGCTCCATGTAGCCTGTCCCACCACTTCTTCTCTGTCTTTCCCTTGTGTGTGGCTTTACTGCTATGCCTCTACCTGAGGGCATCTTCTTTGTTTCCACTCAGTTACATGTGCTACCGGCTGCTGGGCAGTGCTTTCCCCTTGTTGTCTCTGGATCAGCTACAGATGGTTCTCAAAGGGAAGGTGATGCAGCACTATGGACAACACGTGGTAACGACTCAGGTAGGTCTTCTGAAAGTACTCGTGCTTGGAGCTAAAGGCCCTGTCCTGAGCAGAAGACCTCTCCAGCCCCCTTTCTAGTTTCACATCATCTTGTATAAAAAAAGTTTACGTAATTTTAGACTATGGGCTCTTACTAAAAGCAAGGTTATTGTATGACCGCTGGTTGCAGTGGGCCAAGTAGAGACTGTTTAATCGTCATTGCCTATTTGTGTATTTCTGTTCAGACTTATTTTAAGGGTTTTGAAATTGTTCAGCAGTGTCCCACCTGCTTTCATTGATCTTGCTGAGAAAGCTCTAACGATGGGGGAAGCAGAGGAAGGGCAGCCCTCAGCATACTGACAATGTCATATGTCATCCTTTAACAGTCCTTTTGATTTTGTGTGTCCAGAAGCTCCTTTTTGTCTGTCATTGTTCTGGGTGTTGCATGAACATTTGAAGGCAAAGACAAAAAGGGACAACTCATGCTTTTGTTTATGTTAATGTTTGTTTCAATACACACATCTGAGGTTTAAGCACAAATATTATTTGGGAATTGGATTTTGGAACTCCTCTTCCTCCTTCCCTCCTGGGAAGCCAGCAAACAACACACCCTGCAATAAAGGGAGGAAGAATAAAAGGGGAATACTGATAAAAACAGGCTTTGGTTTGGCTTTTTGTGGTAACATACTCCTAAGCCTCCTCATGTAGGCCCAAAAGTCATTGTCCTCTCTTGGGAGGAACAGGACTTTGCAGTCTTTCTGTTCTGGTATCAAAGCAGCAATAGATAGATACAGGCTTGCTCTGAAAGTAGTGCTTACCATGGTGCTTCCCTGTATGGACCAACTTTCTCCAGGGCTTATCCACTGACATAGTCGTTTTCCTGTTTCTTGCTTTTTATACTTGTTGCCCAATGAATTAGGCCGTGTTCTTCCACGTGCATCAAAAAATTTGTTAATTTAATTCCTGTCTGAAATGTACAAATTCACTGAAGCCAATGATTGACTAAATGGAAAGAGAAACCCCTAATACTGTTGATAATGAGGAAGTAAAAAAGATCTTAGTTCGAATTTGTTGTTGTTTTTGTGCATTTGTTTTGTTTTATCCCTTGACAGGGTTGTTTGTTTTGGAAAGCAAACACTGTTATCTTGTACTTTCTTGGGGGATTCTGGTTGTTGTTGGAGATGGAACAAGACAAAGCTTGCATCTGATATTGACTGACAGTTATCTTCCTGAATCCACTTTTTTTCAACAGGGGAGCAACTGTACTTGATTTGCTTTTGTTAAAAGATGATTGATGAAACTCCTGTTGTGAGTTATTAGCCTGTTTACAGCAATCTCTCCTGCAGTTTTTCTCCCAGCTTTCGTACTGATGCACAAGTATTGAGTTCTCCAACAGTGGAAGCAGGAGCTTGCTAAATTGTGTTTTGTATGAGATTTCTTGCAGGGGTATTTATGTTATAATTGGATGGGTTTGTAGTTAATTAGGAATTTATAGCCCCTTTATTTAAAAGAACAGTGTTCCAGAGACTTCTGTTACTGTTTCTGCTCCCACCAGGTCACTGTATTGATCATGACACTATACCAAACAAGTTGTTTCATTAGTTTATGAAAATTGCATTGCATTTTGGAACGAAGCCACAGCTTGCCCTCTTTGAGGTTTCTCCAGTTATGCTTTTGTTTTTTTCTGGAACAAATGAGTGGAACTGAACACTGTGAGCTATGAAAGAACATAAGGAGATGGGGTGTGTGGTGAGATGGGACATGTCCTGTCGGTCTGCATGCTGCTGGACAGTGTTCCAAGGCCAGCAACCTGCCAGCTGTCTGCCTTGCTGATCAGTGGCAGGACTGAGGATGGGACTTAGCACAAAACAGCAACACCTCAGGGTATGGTTTTTAGGTTAAACATGTCAACTCCCCCTCTTTTAAGAATGCCTCAACACTTCTGAGACACCAAGGAGAGCAGGTGGGATTTGTTCTACCCACTGTAGGTCAGTAGGCTCCAGGGCTGCTAGCTGAGACTGGAAGTAATATGGGGGAGTTTCCAAATCGAGGGAAAATCTAAGGCAGATGATGTGAGAAGCACCCTGGACTTTTCACCCAAAATAAAAACTGATCAGCCTAGGAGCTTAGCTGCACTGGCCAGCATGTGGTCCAGCCCACTGAAGCCTGGCTGTTCAGGAAGGTGCAAATTAAAGGGTTGAAGCTGGTACATGACAGGATTCTGTGGTTGCTTACAGTGGTTGCTCCTATGTGAGGAAGACCATGAGGTGAAACTGATGACCTGCTGTATGCCTTATGACAAATGGTCAGGCACGTGACTTTAATTTACTTACTGCAGTCAAATCTGTAAAGTGATTTGTGCTTACAAAGACACTCAGACTCAGTGTGAGGTTCCTGACCTACTTGTTTGACCCTATGTTTCAGCTTCCAGACAGATTTAAGTTTGCTCCAGAGATGGAAGGATATATAGATGAATTTCTGAACAGCTGTGATGACCCAGAGAGGCAGCTGGCAGTGGTGATCGGCTTCTCTACTCTCACCAATCAAGGCTATCCAGTGTTCTCCAGCTCTTCCAGGGTAGTCAGACACCTGCAGCCAGTGGCATTGCAAAAATACGTTGACTGGCTCAAAGACATGTTCCTCAGGCCAGACTTTGACTGTTGCTTAGACTTCTCAAGTAACCGGCAAAAACAGAACCAGGAGAATGTAAAGACGTGAGTGTATAGTTGATGCACCTTCCTTTTGTCTTTCTGTTTTGTGGTTAGATTAGCTACCTGTGTGAAGTCTGGTTTGGACAGCTACCGTTTGCTGGTGCCTTCCCATGAGTTGACAATTGTTGCCTGTTCTATTTCCTCTGTCCCCAAAAGTTTAGCCCCGGCATCTGACTTTATTGCTGGGACAAAATTAAATTCTGCAAATAGGAGCAAACACAGTGAGAACCAGCCAGCCTGATCAGAGCAGACTGGATCACCAGAGAAGCCTTTTTTCTCTTGTTTTTCTAGACCTGACAGCTGCTTTGGCAAAAATGTCCAGTGGCTTAGTTTTTCACTACAGACTCTCAGGTCTTTATGGGAATTGTGCATCCCTTTTACCTGACTACTGAACTGGCCTGAGTGCTCTTGTCTCCTTGGCCCCCACAGAAAAGCACCCACTTCATGTCTCAAGTAGCCTGTAAATACTTATGTCTTTGATAGGCATTTGTAGCAATTTCCAGCTAGGAAAACTTCCCCAGAGAAAGTTCTATCCTCCTTGGCGCTGCTGCTCACTGAATACCCACAACTTGGTCCTGTGGGTACTTTTTGGTAAACTGCAGTGTCTCAGTGGGGTAAATAGACTGTCTTTTGCATATTAACAAGTAAACTTGGGAAGATTATATCTCTTTTTATGTACCCTGTTGCTTTCTTACTATATAACTTTGCCATCATTAGCCTCTAAATATCTGAAAGTCACCTCTTGCTGTGGTGGATTGTGTGTCTTGTGTTTTATTTCGGGATTGTGTTCAAACTACTGATTGTGTCCACTTCCTTACTGAAAGAACACAGCATAAGATTGCTCGATTAAGAAAATGGATCATCCACCGTCTTGCTAATATCATTGAAAGTCCAGTGAAAAAAGAAGAGAGCCTTGTGATGGACATTTCCAGGTGAGAATGATTTAAAGATTTAATGACATATGTGCTTGGAATAATTCTGTTTAGCTCTACAGCAGTATTCCAAGTAAGCTGTCCCTGTGACACTAGGCAAATTCAGTAATGGAAATATTCCAGTAACATAAGTCATTTAGAATACCTTCTGCAAACTTGGACAAACTCTTGTCATAAGTAGTTCAGGCACTTAAAATCATCTTAGTCCATGTTTTCAGTAAATTTTAGGTTCCTTGTTACCTAGACTGCTTGAAGGTATTATTTCTGATCTTTGCATCAGATCTTAGTAAATATTTATCTGCCAGTTTAAAGATCTTGGAGAGTATAACCCAAATCTGACAGTCTGGGTATTGTATTGTGTGGCCTCAAGTGTTAGCACTTCACTTTTGTGAAGTCCTGAGCATCCTTCTCCCTTCTTTACCCTGTGTACTTTGAGGAAAGGGTCTTACTGTAAATAGTGACTTTTTTCAGTGTTTGGGAATCCTTGAATAAAAATGTGGTGAATATGTGACGCTATTTGTTTTGCACGCTTGGGCTGTTTTTGCTTTGTTATGACCAAGCTGGCTCTTACTTTTGTTCTTGTTTCTGTCCATTCTAGGTTTTGCTTCTTCCATGCTTTCTTTGAGACTAAGAAAAAGACTTCCCAAATACAAGAGGCAAATGTCCTTCCATCAGAGCCTCTAGATGAACAGGCTCATTCAGTGGCAGAAAATTACTTCTTTGGGTAAGGATTTTGCTTGCATGCTTTAAGCTTGAAAATTTCCTTTTTTCTTGAGGATAAGATCAGCCTGTGCACAGCCAGGCAAGAGGTTTGGGATTGTGAGCTCCTACTGGAGCATTTGTTTGACTCCAGGACCAGGGAATGGCTTTTTTTTAAAGAGATCCTAAATTTCCCAAAAATCCTTAAGTTTTGTCCAATAAAAACATAATTTAGCGTGGCAAACCTGCTGAGTATGTGTGTGTTGATCAGGTAGATGTAGAGTTGAGTTCAGACTGCTTTTTCTCCTAAGGTTTCTGTTGCCTCTGTTGCAAGCTAGAAGTGGAAGGACCCAAGAGACAGGTGGTAGGGTTGTGTGGGTTGCTGTTGGCTTTCTGTCCACTCTGCATGTGAGATGCTGATGGCTTTGCAGTCCTCCCTGTACAAAGGGAGATGGAGTTGGTCATAATAGATGCTTTCAGGTGATTGCCAAAGGTGATAGTAGAGGGAAAGCAGAGGACATGGTGAGACAAAGAATGGGAAACACTGAGAATAATAGTCAGTGTCCTTGGGGGCACCAGATGTGCTTGGGGCACCAAGACCATGAGCTTTTACTGTGTTTGGACACATGCATGGGTTGAAACTTGGGCCCTGTGAATCTGGGTTGCAATGAGTGACCAGAGCTCTGGAATGAGAGTGCTCTACTGGTGGGTGTTATTTTGGAAAGTGTGAGAAGGCCATCTGGTTCCTCTTGACAGTAACATGCTGGCTGTTTTTCTTTGCAGTTTACTTCAGACTTTAAATACCTTGGCTGTTTTGGGGGATACAGCAAAGGCTGCAGCCTTGAGGGAGAAGCACATCCATGGTGTGACTGCAGATGGGAAGCTGTGGATCTTTCTCCTTGTTGAGTATGCCAACAAGTTGCTCTCCAGTGAGCATATCACATCTGTGAAGCCTTTTACCGAAGAACAGAGAGATGCCTGGGAGAGGTGAGATTGGGCCAATAAATGAGAAACTGTATTCTCTCATCCTTCTGCTGTTGTTCTGGCCGCTGTAGCAGAGCCATTTCACAGCGGTGGCAGTTCTGTTTCTTCCCTTTGAGTATGCTGCACCTGCAACTGGGTTTCAGGATGCCTCTGTTTCTCATTGCCCCATACCTTTCTTCTTGTTCCTTCTGTGTGTAAACTATGGGTAGGTGGCCACGTCATCTTCTATTTTTGCTCACAGTCCCTCTCTCAAAGATGATTGCAACTCTGCTAATATTTTCTCCTAATAATACCTGTACTAACTTCTCAGCGGCTCTCTTCTGATGTTCTTTTCTGAGCTTGATTTCCCATAAAGGTAGAGACCTTTGGCCTTGGCTGTAGTATTAGGAATCTAGTCTGTGCCCAAGTGCAGAGGTTTTTATAAGCCACACAAGGTGAGATACTATTGATAGGTTAAGATTGTGTACTATATGTATGTCCAGTTTCAATAAATTAAATGTTAAGTACAGAAAATGGTGCTATAGATTTGGTCATGTTTTTAGTCTGATCATATGAGAGGATTTGCTGTTGTAATGGTGAAAGACTCAAGAGGTTTCTTTCTTCAGAACGCTTCAGTCTGTGAAGAATCTGCAGAAGAAGGAAAATAAATCAGACAGTGCCAAAGTCGTTGCTTTCCAGCAACTTCTGCTTTTAATGGCCATTCATCTTTTCAAGGTAAGACCTCTGAAGCATATTTGACTGGTGTAAAATGGGCTGATAGTTAGGCTTTCTGAACACTGAGCTGGAGAGTTTCTTTGTGTTCAGAGATCCAATCTTACACAGCCTCTGGCTTCTAAAAATGGGCAACTGGCAGTTAATAAACTGTGATTCTTACACTGACTGTAGACATCAACTTACAAGGGCAAAGCTTGGCCTGAGCATGGGTTTTGCCCTTGGTTTGCTGCTGAATGGAGCAATTTTACTTAGTTTCATGTTTTCTTTTGCAAAAGGGTTGTAGTAGCTGATTTTCATATCTGTACGTATTTAGAGAGCTCCTTAGATTCGGGGTATATTCCTTCTGTTGCTGTTGGTAGTGGGGAATTCAGAGAGGATGTTTACTTTCTGCTTGCGATCAAACAGAATCCATCTGAAACAATGGATGTTCTGAGTGACCTTCTGAACTGCACGGAGAGGGCATTCAGCAAAGAACCTAAGAAGAAAAAGACTGGTGAGTCCTTCCTACAGAAAGAAATGGAGTGGGATTGTTAATGGTCTGTGAAAAGACAGAAGATGGCAGTTCTGCATTAGTGAAGCGCTCTGCATTGGTTTTAGCTTGATGCACTTCTCCTCAGGAGAATCCCCTCTCCTTCATTCTCTTTGCTTGTCTTTCTACATCTCTTGTTTCTTGCTCCAGCTCTCTATCCACATCCTCAGTGGGTTGTGCTCCTGTGTGCCTCTTAAAGGATAGGTGTGCTTCAGAGCTGGCTATTGCTCAGATGAGCAGTGTCCAAGGGAATTCACTCTTTCTGAGTCCTTGTTCTGTGCTGGCCAAGAGCTTGACTGAAGTGCTGGTATCTGTCCGGGCAAGGCTATGTGCTCTCCTAACCGCTGGCAGGCCTGAAGCTTGGTACTTTCAGAGCTCAAGTTCTGGGCAAAGTAAATGTTACCTGTGTGTAGATACAGCCTGTTTGCTGATTTTGGTTAGTCCTTGTTTAGGGCCTGGGGAGCTAGGTTGGGACTTGACGAGGAAAGAACCTGGCATGGTCTTTTAACTTCAGCTCTAACTGTGGTCGTCTTGTTCTCCTTAAATCTCTGTGTAAATTTGAGGGTACTGTGAAAATAAAAGCTGTGATTCTGTGGTGGCTTGGTTGTATGTAGATCAGGATTCCCAAACTTTTGGACTAATGGACCAGCTTCAAATGTCAGCACTTTTCATGGGCTGCAGTGACTCCTGATTTCATTGGAAATACTATAAAATGTGTATACGTTTGCTGACTAGCTGCTGATGGCTTTAATGTGGCCAGGTAGGTGTCACATGATTTCCAGAACTGCTAATCTAAGTAATGATTTAATGAATAGTATGGTTTGTTACCTGGTAAAGCTTTGCAGTGGCCTAAAGACAATTTCAGGCCTCCTTCTCCCTATGGTTATTAGCCTTCCATACAGCAACGATCTTTAGCTTCACACTTGATTATTTCTGGTCTGTGTTGCTGACTTGTAATAGTCAGCTAGGACTATCCTTTTTTTGCCTTGGTGAATTTTTCTGCAGTCTCTTAATGTGCCACTGCAGTAGTTTTGTCTCTTCCTGTCATTGTTTGTTTGTTTCTGTGCAGACAACATGGAGCCAGGATGGGTTGAGGTGATGGTAGAAATCCTTCTCTCCCTCCTTGCCCAGCCCAGCCTACTCATACGTCGGATTTCCAAGAGCGTGTTTGTACGGATATGCCCTAACCTGACCAAGAGGGGCTTGCAGCTGATCCTGGATGTAAGTGAGGCACTAATAGGGCATTGTACTGTTTGCCTGTCATGTCCCTAACAGATATACAAGCATGTCTCTGTTTTGAGGTTGAGTAAAAGCCTCCTTGAGTTAGAAAATGTCTGATAAATGTGTGCTACTGAATTCTAAATGTAACTTACAAAAAAGGTCTTTTTGGGTTTGTTTTGTTTGTTTGTTTGTTTGTTTCATAGGAACCTGAGATCTGCTACTTTAAGCTGTATTCTTTGGTAGTTTTAAGCTGTAGAAATTCCTGGGTCAGTTTATGTAGATGGTAGATTTTAAAGTGTAAATGGTAACAACTTATTTTTTCTAGAAAGGCTAAGCATAGAGGTGCTAAAAATAAGTGACACTGAAAATCTGAATTGATTGTACCACTGAGTAAAGTGGTGTCCTCTGAGAGAGTAATATGTGGATTGCAGAGATGTGTTGTCAGGTACTTTATATGATGAACCTAATACTTCATTTCTAACAAATCAAAATGTGTGGTGTCACCAACCTCTTCAGTTTTCTCCATCTTTTTTGTTACTTATAGAAAGAACTTAGCATATTAACAAACATGATATTGTAAGCCAGAAAGTTGAAGGCTCTTACTTAGCATTATTCAGCTGGCTTACTGTACCAAAATTCCTGTCTGTTGTACACAAGAAATGCATCAAAACACTGAAAAAACACAAGTCCCTGTTTTTTGCAGGTTCTTGACCCATACCAAGAGCAAAATGAAGAAAGTGCTGTTGTTGTGATGGAAGAATCTGACAAAAAGATCAAATCTGCACAGGACATGGTAATTGATGTGCCATTTGCCATTGACAATTACTCTTCAGACCTTCGCTGTTTAAAAATAATGTTTCTCCTGATCTGTGGTAATGGACGTAATTGCATTTTTCTGTCTTGAGTAAAATCACAGTTCCTCTATTAAGATTTATTTTAAAAGTGCGACACACAAATGGCTTGTCGGAACTGCATGTTTATTAGTCTCTTGGCTTTAAAGGAAAATGCTGTTGTAGGTATGGCTGTTTGAATAGATGACTTCCTGAGAACAAATGACTGCATCCTGAAATTAGCACAGGCCTCTCTTTTTTTGCAGCCACAGACTGATTCACTGCTGTGATGCACAGCCATCTGAATTCAAGATCTCGGGTTTTAAGAACTGCAGAGATTCAAGTTGCAAAGCAGCATAAGCATTAGCAGAAAGGAGAGTCAGATGGGGGCCATTACTTCAGATGTTCCTTGGGCACTTCTTTTTGATACTTATTTAATATGACAGAGAAATCTGTATTATGTTCTGCTTCCAGCTATTGTGAAGTTCTGGTATCTTGTTATCTGTCCTTGCTTGAATCTGAGGGCTGGAAGCAAGGCGATGGGATGAGGGGAGGCTTGAGTTTTTATTTCTGAACACCTGAGAATTGAGTAGGGCTTGAAGAATGGTGGGTCAGGAAATGAACTTTTCTTCTGCAGGACGAGGAAGGAAGCGAGGACTCCTCAGATGAAGGCGACACTGAGGAAGAGAATGACAGTGGAGATGAGGAAAAGAATGAAGAAGTTGATGATGATTTTCGCAGTCAGCTGATGAATGTTCTCCAAGCAGGGAATGCATTGGTATGCGTTCACTGCCTTCCTTGATCAGATACCAGGAGGTTTGGGGTGGTGAAAGATTATCTAATACCCACATCCTATCTGAGCCCACACAGTGATAACCCTGGCAGTCATCTTTGTATGGCATTTGAAGCAGGAGGTCAGGATCTTCAAAGCAAGCTGTGGGAATAAGTCACTTGTTCTTTTATTTATTGTTAGTGCATCTTGAGTGCTTTACCTTGTTCAGTCTAGCCTGATATAGCTTGTATTCCTGCCTGTAATAAACAAGATTGATAGGAACTAAAGCACTGAGATACTGTTACATGGAGCCTGTTTTGGCTAGCTTGTGTGGAGGAGTGTGATCCTTGTAGGCTACTCTGGAGACTTCTTGTAGCAGCATTGGACTATGGTTTAATGATTGCTATAAAGGCTACAGACATATCAACATACTAACCTCTTTATTGAAGGAGCAACAGCACAGAGGGAGTCAGTGTCAAAACCTCAGCTTCTTCCCTCTCCTGATCTCTAGCTCTACGAGTTAGTACTGTGCAGCCAGGATTACCTGACAGGAAATACAAGATAGATTTCTCGTGGGTCTGAGCATCTGTTTTCTCTCCCCATGTTGTTATTCTGGGTCTACAGCTAGCTACGTCCCTACTGTGAGTCTGGTCTTGGCGGTGGTTCTCTCCCCACTGTCTTTTTGAATTACGTGGGTGACAGGTTGTTTTTGCATTCTGAAAACAAAAGGGAGGAGATGAGAGTGACGAAGAGCTGGATGATGAGGCTATGATGGCTCTTGACAAGAACATCTCAGCCCTTTTTGCGGAACAGCAGAAACGGATCCAGGCGAAGAAGGATGAGAAAGACAGGATGCGGAAAGAGAAGATCCTACAGAGGGATTTCAAGATTAAGGTGAGAGATAAGTGTTTGGTGTGAAGACCTCTGATTTACCTGTCAGTTTTTGTAAACTGGACAAGCTTGATGTGCCGTAGTGTGACATGCATAAAATCCCTCTGGTAATTTTGCAGTGTAAGGTGGGGTTTTTTGGGCTTGTTATGCTGGTAAAATCGGGAGGATTATGTTTAACACTCTCTGGTTATTTGTGACTGTAATACTGAATTCAGGCCACCTGGTGTCAGCATGGACTGTCCAGGGTATTCAGGCATCCAGGGACATCTCCAGCTGCTCAGGTATAGAAATGTCTGGTGTCAGACCAGCCACGATGAAGGCTGAACAATGTAGCGAGCCGTTGGCTTTACGACATTTTCATCCTGATGCTATGCTATAAGAGGTTGATTTTATGCTAATGCACTGTCTGGAAGTCAAGGGGGTCATGCAGGGGTGAGAGCTATCAGTTGATAGTGCTAACAGAGATCTGTACCAAGTTGTAGTGACTGCAGGTCTGTCCATGTGGCAGTGATTCTGAGTTAAGTAGTAACTCTTGCTTCTAGGTGGTGTCACTGCACAAAATAAAGCTGAAGTCAACAGACAGCCTTTAATCTTCAGTTTCAAATTTTTAATTTTCAGTTTCTCATGCCCTAACAGTACAAATGATAGCAGAAGGTGTACAGATCAAAGGCTCCTTCAGCCCCCTCCAGTCTGAAGGAGCCGCTCTGGGTAGATCCATCATGTTTCCCTGTCTGCATTAGTTCTCACATCAGTAACTGTTTTTGCAGGTGCTGGATCTGATTGAAGCGTTCCTGACTAAGCAATCAGAGAACCCCTTGGTGTTCGACATCATCGAGCCCCTGCTTCGGGTGATTGAACAATGCATGAGCTCAGACTCTGACAAGCAGGAGGTTGAATTCCTCCAGAAAACAGCCAATATCTTCAAGTAAGTGTCCTTAGTCCTCCGGGTAATAGGCAATGGCTTTTGGTACACGCCAGTGGTATTGGTTGAATCCCAGAGGTTGGTCTTTCTAAGACTGAAGACAATTGCTATGCTTGCAGATTGTGTAGAATTAGATTACCAGCAGCACACACATACACAATGCTTAGTGATAACCTGCAGGTAAGAAATAAGGATCTGGGTTTTCTAGTCTAAGGGATTTCAAGTGCCAAACCTGTTTGCAGGTGGAAACCTTAAGAACAAACATTGGTATTGCAGGCACGGTGCCATGTCACTGAATATCTCCACAGGCCTCTGACCTCCGAGTCAGACCATGCAACTACTCCCTAGGCCTACAGAGTTGCTGCTCTGGCTGGAACAAAACTCCCAACAAGTTATTATTGAGGCAGGCAGAGTGCAAATTCTCTCTTTTCACGGCCAGAAGTGAGGCATGATACAAGCTAGACACAGACATAATGTGTGGTGTGTGTCATGATTTGTCCTCTGTGCGCTGCTCCCTGACATCCTCAGCGCTGCTTTAAAGCATTATCAGTGTTGCTCTCTAGCCCTTGTTGAGAAGCAGTTCTGCAGTAGCAAGGTTTGAGGCAGCCAGTCCCCTAGGGTTTGTGGGAGCTTTGGAGGAAAGTTGACTCTGATGCCTAAATAGGTGCTTGAAGGCGAAGGGCATTAAGTCTTCTCACCCTTCGTGCCACAGCAATAACTGCCTCTTTTGCTGCCCGCAGCTTGCACCGTTTTTGTTTATGTGATAAGGGTTCATAGCAATCTGTTTCCCAGAGCTCTTTCTGTAGGTAATGGCTTTGGGTTTGTTTTTAATGCTCTTTCAGGAACTCATTGTGCCGAACTAAGCAGTACTGCAAGAGAGTGGATGCCCTGCAAGAAGATTTGCACGCTTTTGTGGAGAGGCTTGTGAAGAAAGCCTGCAAGCACACTGACTCTTCAGTGGCTCTCTATTATTTCAGGTGAGTGTTAAAAAGGAGCGTCTCTGCTTGGTGCTGTGGGCTGGTCTGTAAGAGGCATAAAGTTGCATGTTAAAACAGTTCAGAGAAGTGAGAGAGTCGATGAAGGCTAGGTGCCAAAATCAGTGTCTTACATGAGGGCTAGTCAGTCATCCTGGCAGTCTGAAGCATTTTCAAACAGATGTCCGTGTTTTGGTGATCATCTTCTATGGGCTCTGTGATACAGGAATGGTCTGGTACAGCTTTGCTGATAGTGATTGGAAGTGCTTCCCTGAGGCTTCATCAGTTGTGTGTGATTCAGTGCGGGGATGAGTGCAATTTATAGTCGATCTGCAAAGATTGTTTTGTAAATACAGTGGTTTACTGTCTCCACGATAGCACAATGAGGACAATAATGATTATGGGTTCTGACCGTAAGTACCAGGATTCACTCCTTTGCTGCTGAATACAGGTGGGTTAGGATAAGCCATATGTGTATTTGTTGGGAAACCTGATCAATCTTGTTTCCTGGTGTAAATGGAAGTGCCATTTAGCAGTAGGCTCTCTAGTGACTTGCAGGCAGTTTCAGGAGGACCGTCATACTCCGTCTGGGATTTCTCAGCACAACTGTGTATGCAGTGAGTACCACATTGCATGGTGAACCCAGTACCATCAGTGAGTGTTGGCTCTGCAGCACACCTGGCTCTTGGCTGTGCAGGAACTGTGGTACTCCCTAGCAATGTGGGGCTGGCTGTGTGTGCTGCACGGCTCCCTGACAGCTTCCTGGCAGTGGCAGTCCTGAGTGGAGCTGTGCCCAGTTAATACAGCATTTCTCAGAAGCAGCAGACTGTCTGCATGCTCTCTCAGTTGATACGCCCAAGTTCTCCAGGCACACAGCAGCCTGGGCTGAGAGGGCTGCACTGCAGTGCTGGCTGAGCTGTGCAAGCTCAGAATTCCTGAGCAAATGCAGAAGTCCTCAAGCAGTGCTAGTCAAAAGCATGAGCTTGAGGAAACCAGGCTGATAGTGGGGATGTCTGACTGCAGTGACAGATAATGAAATGATGCAGCCTCCTAAGATTTGTCTTTAGGTCTGGCAAGAGTGGGTTAGACAGAGAAGGGGCCCTTGTGGACTCTTTAACCTCCCTTGGTACAGAATAAGCTGCCTGCATCAACTGGCCTCTGCCCTCTGCTGGCTTTGCAATGGCACCATGACACTGTGGTAACTATTATGTTCTCTCCTTCTTCTTTTCTTTTTTAGTGCTTCATTATACCTGCTCAAAGTGTTGAAAGGAAATACGTCCGATAAATCATCAACAACTCCTACCCCTTTGCCAGAGAAACAGATCAACACCATCCCGCAGGCTTGTCAGGTGAGACAGCAGGCTGCTCTTGAGGCGGTGTTTCTTACCAGTAAGGTTGCATTACTCCATGTCACTGAGTGGGTCTTGCTTATTCAGTCTCACTGTTCCTGCTGCCTGCAGATACCTGTCTACATGATTTCTTTTCCATAAAGCTGTCAAATTCCCCATCCCCTTCTGTCCCTTGCCTTCCTGCCTTTGCAGTGCCTCCTTGCTCATAGCCACCAGGGGTTGCTGATGTACAGTGTATCCAGGTTAATTGCCAAAGAAGCCTGATGGATATTTATGCTGCTCTTCTGGCTAATTTGCTATTTTTTCCCATTAACATCTTGCCAGTCACTCTGAGTTCTTTTCTGGGAAGGTGCTGAGAAACAGGGAGGTGCAGGACAGTGGATGAGAGTGAACTCCTATCTCTGAGTTTTGGGCTGAGTTATCTCAGTGTGAAGAGAGTGTATAGCAGCCCTGATTTCAGTGGTAGTTGTTTGCAGGGAGAGTCGTCTTCTGGTTGTGCTATGGGTGTCTGTTACTCAGGGAGCCGTACTGTCTGGTCCCCTTTCACCTACTGTGTCTGCTGAATTTCACAGGTCTCCTGAATTTGGTGACCCTGTATATTGGGCAGCCCAGTCCAGTCACCTCCACTAGAAAGCTAGCAAGTAGTGTTTCACCAGCTAGCCTGATACTTGCCTCTGAACCTCTCAAATTGTGTGCAGGAATTAGTGCCTTAATCCTGTTGACATTTTGTGGGGGAGGAAAATAAATAGGGCTACCTCATGACAAGGGAGGGCCTGGAAATTACAGACACTGAGATATTATTAGTGGCTGAAAAGATAGCCAATGTTTCTAAGGCTTAGTGAGACACTGAGAGTGTTAATCCAAGCAGTTCTTGTTCTGTGCTGGGCCTTTCTGGGAAGAAAAACAAAGTGGGAGATCTGTGTGGAATATAAACAACATACTTGATGTTGAGGCTAGAGTGAGACATGCCTCACAGCATGCTTGTGCAGCTTCACAGGGAAGGCTGTTATTCCTTCGGGAACAGAGCTGTGGTCTTGACCAGCCAAGGGCACAGCCAGCAGCTGAAGTGAGTTGCTGGTTTGAGGGAGGTGACACAGTTCGGTTTACGTGATGCTGCTGGTGCTGGCATTGTGTTGAGGCCAGGAAGGTTTTGCAGTGGGGAACCAGAGACAAAGGTGTGGTGTGTTTCCAGTGAGTAGTGCTTTGTGAGCATAATCTGGAGCTTTTCAGGAAGCAGGAAAGTGGAACTAGAGCAGACCCTATGAGGCAGTGGCCAAAGTTATGGAAAAGCCTGCTACTACAGAAGAAGTTTTTTTTACAGTCAACATCTACATGGGAGGAGGAATCAATTTTTTTTCCCTGCAGATGTGTATAGACACTTGACTAGGAAACTGAGGTCATACGTTTCAAGATCCATCTCCCCTGTTCCTCTAGCCTGTGTTCAGCTGCAGTAGGACTGGGAGTTTGACCTGAGAACAGGACACAACATTAACATGGCTTTAACTTTCTATGGGGCCATGGAATTGCTTGGGCAGAGGTTTGCGAAAGGCCCATCCACTATTGTGAAGGTCATAGCTTTGTCCTCCTGGTCCTTAATTTTTCTTTCTTCCCAAAGAGCTGTGATGCGATGCTCCACACTTCGCTTTTCATTCACCCCGGTGGTGTTAGTTTAGATCTATGTGGCCTGTGCAGATCTCAGCTGGTTGCTGCATGTCTGCGTTTTTTGTTCCCCACCAGAGGGGGATATCAGAGCATCTACACAGTTCTGGGATTGCTGGATCCCTGATCAGAGCTAGGGCTTGTCTGCTGGGTACCTAGAAATCCTGGACATAGCTCCTAAGTCTATGTAGATCTAGATATCTACATACACTAATATCAACAAATTCAAATAGCTCTACAGCTGAGAACACCATGTGCACAACACATCTGCTGCAGGATGGTCTTAATTGCTCTCTGAACCTTACGTGTGCTAGACATGCCCACCGCAAACCTAGAAGTACAGCCCCCACACCACACCACACCACACTACATGCAGTGTATGTAGTCGTACTAGAAAGCTGTGCTGTCCTTCACTAACGTGGTCATACGGCTATTGGTACTTGGGAGAGCATGTTTGGGGCCCATTTTGTGTTTCTTCGTGGTTCTGTGTTGTATCTCGTAGGCCTGTATCATATAAGCTGCCCAAGAATATCTAGTTGTTGGAAAAATCTGTGTGCACTGGTAAAAATTAATTAATTCATTGCTAGTGATTCATCCTTGTGTTTCATTGGAAATCTTTTTGTTCTTCTTTCTCTCTATAGCTTTTGAGCACAGGTTGTTTGGATATGGAGAGGGTGTCTGTAATATATCAGCAAGCATTGACAAAATTCTTGACTAAACGGAACAGTGCCCTTACAAGCTCCATGTTCCATGATCTCTTCACACGCTTCCCGGTAAGTGTTGCTGACTCTGTGGTATATTGTCTTCTGCTGGCTGCAAAGTACAGTTGTAATTCTAGGGAATGTATGGAGAGAAACTTCTCCACTTTATTGTGGGCTTTTAAAACTGCTGTAAAGTTTCCTAGGATCTTTACCTGCTCAGACTCTTAATACTGCATGTTTTGATAGCAACATTGCAGAAGACCAGGAACTCATTTGTGGTTTGGATTGGGATACTGTATGGAGAAT